GACCCTATTGGCTATCTACTAACACCTACTGACCATCTTACTAACTGGTGTGGATGACGAATCCCTGAGCCGGAGTCTGACTAAAATATCAGGTGACCTATGGGTCTTGACCACTAAGCAATGCTGAGTAGAACTGCTTAGTGGGCTGTCACCTGATTGACAACCGCGTCCTGGAACCTTCTAGCTGGTTCTCTACTATTCTGTGGATACTCCGGTATGCATCTAATCTATATCTTATCTATATCTGATAAGATAAGATAGGTGCATGCTTATTCTGGAATATATTTGAAAAACTGTGACAGGTGATAGCGTTTATCAAAATTGGTGATCACAAAAGTCGTCATGTATGTCTAGTAACAGACCTAGGAAACAAGGACATGATCATCGGAATGAGTTATCTAAGATAACATAACCCTGAGATCAATTGGGCTGCAGGAACATGGGAAATGACCAGGTGCAAAGAAAAATGTGGATTAACTAATAAGAAACATGATTTAGTGTCAGTACAATACAAGGAAGTGCACAAAATTGGTTTAATCTACAAAGATGAATTAGCCAATGCTTTTGAGATGACCCAACATCTCAAGAAGGAAAACATCAGGGATTCAGGAGGACTCAAAGTAAATTGGGTCCAGATTACAGAGGAGAATTATGACACGATCTCCGTAATCATAAATATCGCAGATAAAAAAAGAGTTCAAGACGTTCAAGCAGGATTAGTACCCACAAGAAGGCATTATAATTTTCCTACAAAGTCAAATGCAGAAAAAATGATGAGACAGTCATTTTAAAGTTGACAAAAAGGGGCACTTACTACTCTACTAATTCAACTGGTATAGCTACAGTGTAGTGATACTCTTTTTCACACCCCTGGTCCTTTTCACACCTATTGAGAAACTTATCTATTTCTACACCAATAAGCTTCTAATTTCTGTTTGAAGTTTGTTAAGGGACCTAATGATTGAGGATCAGGAGTTTGACTTAAGACTGATATTGATACCGATACTGATACATATAAGGCTAGATGTGTTATACTTGTACTAGACTTATAGACTGAGCCACTGTAACTAACAGTGGTTTGAGAGTGTATACTGGTTGAAGCAGAGCTTCAGACTAAGACTTGAATAGACAACTGAGTCTATTACAGAAGACAT